GAAAAGAAGAATACTAAATTAATAGTGGGTAACAGTTAATAAATGAATAAAGTAGACAAGTGAATTTCTAGATTAATGGAATAGTTCTTAGCAACTAGTTAGGATACACTAAGTTTTCTGGTAGGGTTAATAAAACGCGAACTCATTCTCGAGACAGCAGACCTTAAATGCTATGGTAAAAGAATCGAAAAGGAAGCAAGAAAATGGATCAATAAGTTGCAAGATATGACTTGTAACCAGTTCAAGAAGAAGGTTTGGAATGCAAGATGTGAAAGGATGATAGAATGGAAAAGATTGCAATGAATCCAAAAGAAGGATAAAATAAAAAGACTCCCTAATCTTTCAGGTACAAAAACCATATAACTGGAAAGAAAAACTTTGATATTGGAGAAAAGAAGATTAGAAGATAAAAATCTAAAAGATATCTTATCAAGAGAAGTTATATTTGGGATGAGATGGTTGGGTTTTGAGTAATGTCAGAACTTAAAGAGTGATCTGCAGTAGTGACCTGCAGTCAATGATATTAAAAGTTGGAAAGGTTTTTACCTGAACTCCTAATGGAGCGATAAATCACTTCCAAAGTTATACTTAGAGTAGTAATTACAAAGACAAGTAAGCTAGTTAGTATTTTTTAGCTTTAGCGATTCATACTATATGTATAGTTTACAAATGTTTAATAAAGCACACATAACTAGCCTGATAGAGGGTTAAAAAAAAATAAATTATTTATAATTTATAAATATAACTTTAATTCAAAAAAATTTATGCATAAGTTTATCAATTTTTTTACTTTATTGTTAATAAATAGTTGTTGAATTTTTAATAAATAGTTAATGTATTTTTAATAAATATTTTTGATAAATAGTTATCAAATTTTTAATGAATTATTAATAAGTTTTTAATAAATAGTTTTGATAAATAATTGCCATAAATAATTTTGTGATAAACTTTTATTGAATTGTTAATAAATTTTTGTTAAATAGTTAATAAATTATTTGATAAATTGTTAATAAATTTTTTGATGAATTGTTAATAAATTATGAATATATCAATTTTTATAATATTTATAGTCAAATTATATAGTTGTTGATTTATTTATATCATTTTTTTGTCAAATTAGTTATTTTTTATTAAATGTTATATAAGTAATAATATGTCAAATAATTTTTTTTGACTAGTATATATAATTAGAAAATTTCAAATTTTATAATAATAATCAGTAATTATAAAAAATATAATATAATATATAAGTATTAGATAATCTTTTTATAATATTTAATTTCAATTCTTTGAATATTATTAAAAATATATAGTATTTTTCTAAATATTATAAATGTGTATTATAATTAATAAAGATTTTTATTATTATATTTTAAGTTAAATAAGATTTTATATTATTATAAAACTAAAAAAATATTGAAAAACTTGATTTTTTAAAAATAAAAAATATATTATATATTAATAAAAAATTTTTTAAATAATAAAAGATATATTATATATCAATAAATTTTTTTAATTTATTATAGCTATTTTTTTTTAAGTACCTGTAGTCAGACTAGATTGTTGGTTTATTATCAATTAAAAATATAAGTACATTTTCATTTGAGTAATAGGATACATATTACAACTAAACTATTATTCTAATCTAACTAACTTGTCATAAGCATAAAAGTCTCTAAATTCAGTCTTGGGAACAATATTTTGTTTCACAATATTTTTAGATGAAAACCCTTCTAATTCACTGTATAATTGCTAGTAGGTTGACACTACTATATATCTAACCAAGCCCTACAATTTTTATTTGAGTTATTTAATGGATCAAAATCACTGTTGTATATATTTGTATAGATAAAGATGGAAAAAAAGAAATGAGTAATATGTCTATTGTGTATATTTTCAAATAAGCACTATATACTATAAATCAATTATTATAATAAACTATTATATATATAGTTAACTATATTGATTATACTATATATGCATATATATTATTTTAACAGAAAACTATATGATTACATTTTAATTATTTTCTATATATTTTTATTGTATATTAGAGTAGATAGGTTATCAAATCATCGAATACAATATCCTGAACTCAATATTTTAATTTTTCAGAGTGATCTGTGGATTTTTCTTCCTATCAAGGCCTCTTGATAATTAAGTTAGTAAGTAGTACAAAGATCAATACTTGATAATTAATGACATTCTACTGGTTTAGGGAATTACTCTTATGTTTGTTACTCTTATATTAATTCTTGTATAACTAGATGATGTCAGGATAATTTTAGTTGATTTTAAATATTACTGATAATTATAATCCTTATATAGACTATACTACTTATTAATAGATATTTTTTTTTCATAATACCTTATAATAAATAGTTATATTTGGAAATGTTGATTAGATACAGTTAGGTCAATAAATATAGATTTTATCAACTTTAGATATTACCACCTAAAAGATTTGAACCTGTATCTTATAATCAAACCTATAGAGTACTAACCATTGCAATATTGATCTATAGTTCAATTTATTATAGTTATTCAAAAATATTATATCAATATAATATTATTCAATTTTTTTTAAATTATATAAGAACTTGAGATTTTTTTTCACTGATTCTTTGACCACATGCAAAAAAGATGTTTGCAAGAAGTTTTTATACTTTTTTGCTAATAAAGTCTTAATACTTCACTTAAAACAACTTGAAGTATGGTTTCAAAAGTCATCTTTATTCTTTTTCTTTTGTTTACAAACCTTTTCACTCAAAAATTTGACTTCTAATTACCAAGAAAAGTCAAGTAACACCTTTGATACCAATGATAAGAAAGTTTTCAAAGGAAGAAGAACTGACTGTGAAGTACTTAAAGGTTTATTTGATCTTTAAAATGAGAGGTTTATAGAGATTTTCTGCAGTAAAAAGACTTATTTTCTTCTTTTTTAACTGTCTTGGCTCTCTTAGAGCTTTCACTTTCATAGTTTTTTAAAGAATTTTGCCTACCTTAATTTGTCTTGAATTTTGAGTAACACAAATTATTATCAAAAGTGATTGGCTAATATAAAATATGTTAGTTTTTAGAATATAAACAAGTTTCTATTGGTCACATTTATGTGTTCCAATGATATTATTAATAATTGAAAAGAAGGTTCTAGAAATATTTGCTTCCAAAAGCTTAAATACCTTAATGAAAACTTCCGTAATATCAAAAAATCAAGTGATGGATAATGTGAATTGAAAATTCCTATCTCTTATCTAAGTTCCTTAAGTGGTGACAAAGCTTTAATGAAAAAAATTTGCTTTCCTTGAGATATTTTAATCTAGTGTTCACTTAAATAAAGGATCAGTTGGATTGACTCTTCTGATACTACAAATAATAAAAAAAAAATTCTTTCAAAATTCAAGTAAAGCAAGAAGACTATTCCAATCAAATAGATCCCTTTTGAGAAGAGGTTGTTTTTATTTTTGGATTTTTTTGATAGATCTTGAATTGTTACCTTTTTCCAATTATTTTTCACTTTTTACTTTTTTAACTTAGTAATTTCTTGATTTTCGGGCAATCAATAGTGGCAAATTATTGACAATGATCTTGATAAATAAAGATTAATACTATCTATCAAGGAAGTGTAATATTATTTCCAAAATCTAATATATATAAAGATGAGTTGGTCACTTTGTGAAAGTCTACAAACTATTATAGATTTATTTTAATTTCTTAATAAAGACAAGTTATTGTGACATGATTATGTGTTAAAAAAAAAAAAATTTAAAATCAGATTATATTAAAAATAAAAATTTTAAGTCTTATAATATAAAAAAAAAATTAAAATAAAGTTTTTGTTTATTAAAAAAAAAATAATAATAATATTAATATTAATATTAAAAAAAAAAGATTTCAAGAAATATTAGATTCTTTTATTTTATTTTTTTATATAACCTATTTATACCAATTTTAAATTTTGTCTTTTTTTTTTATTTAATATAGTTTTTTGATTTATTCAATATTATGAACCATTGATTTTGACAATTGATTATGAATTATTAGAAAGATGTTTGTCAAAGTATTTATAAAATAACATATTAAACTTAAAAGCTTTGGCTTAAGATAAGTAAGTTTATTGATAGAAGATTTAATATAACTTAGATTATATATATAACTCTTAAGTATATTTTGTACTAAAGTAGTCTATTGACATAATAAATACATATTATTAGCCTGGCTTAATGAATTATTACAGAAAAGAAAATTATAGAATTATTAAAACAAATTATTAAAGTTGAAATTATTAAAACAACTTTTTAATTAATATAAAAAAACTTTGAGAAAAAAAAATTTTTTTTCTTGCAAACAGTTCTGCATTTTTTTGAAAAAAAAAAAAATGCATTACAAAAAAGTTTCCGAAAGAGTAATAATTATTATAATTAAATAATGCTCAATAAGACTTTTACTGTGTAGAGTAATATGGATACAGATGTAATTAGATTAAGATGATAAAAATTTTATTGTAGTTAAAAGTTTAAGAATAGAATATGGATTTTCTAAAAACTATTTTCGTTAAAAGAAAAAGTAAATACCAAGAGAAATGCTTGATTATCTAAAAGAAAAAAGATTTGCGAAAAAAAAAAAATTTTTTTTTTCTTCAATTTATTTTTTAAATACTTTTCTTATTCAAGTCACTTAATGGTACATTTATTTAAAAGCTTTGTATCCATATCTAAAGTTGAATATTTTTATTGACTCGTGTTCAAAAAATAAAGTACATTATATAAACAGTATAGGATAGAAATACACAGTATATTAACGAATTATTGGTCTATAAATACTAATACATCAACCTTACTTATAATTTTCTAAAAACTTCATTTATTCACATATTTAATATATAGAAAATTCGACAAGGGATTATTTCAAAAGTCAAAAATTGCTTACTCAACTGCTCAAACGAAATTTTGGTTGAACCAATAAGTATTAAACCGATAAAATACACTTTGAATAACTGATTATTGACTCTTTGCCCAGTATTCCTTTCTAGCTTCAAATAGGCTCGGGGTGTATTCTGCAGAACGTTGAATGGAAAAATTTTTAAAAGCGTTACCGTTGGGACGTGATTTTCTTGGAACCTGACCATCAAAGTCCAAGAGCTCATTCTCGAGACGGGTTGGATTGTGAATGTTATCGATCGTTTTACTTTGTTTGCCTTTAATTAATTTAATCTGAAGGTGACCATTCGATTTGTCAATAGAAATCACCTAAAAATGGATATTTTATTTACAATTAGCACAGGTCTATTCTATTTAGATTATAATAAATAGATTACCTTCACGTCCATGCTCACTGTTACACCAATATTTTTAAATTGTCGCTTATATTTTAAGGTGTCGTTAGGTTTAATTATCAGAGCTTTGGCTAGATCTGGAAGTGTTATTTGAGCAGAGTCGCTGATTTTCAGATTTGTTAATATAAGAATACGTCATATTAATCAAATCAGAAAATAACAAGTGTAAAATATGCATAATATTACCCAGCGATCTGTTTGTTCCCTATTTTCCCCCATAACCCAATACCCCAATCTTGTTCGAAAGCATCGTTCTATCCATGGATGGGTTAAAAAATTACACTTGATGACAGAACCGTCAAATTTTAATAACTTAAAATGCTTACTTTCCAGACATCAGGAATTTCAGTTTTAAACTTTTCCAGGTTAGTCCATTGAGTGTCAACACCTATTTTTGTAAAATACCCGTATCTTATGCTCAACTGAAACCACCACCGAGCGTCTTTGAATGCATCTGATAGCCAAAAATCGAAGCGTGGAACAACTTTGGTTGGATCTATTTCAGTTATAACACTCGTTATCCCTGCCTCGTACAATTTTAACCCCTTGGATTGACGCTCTCTTTCAATTCTCGGTGTGTCAATTGGTTCGCCAGCATCACTCGCGATCGGAACCAATTCTGAACTTGGTAAAAGATTCAAGAGACGTGCCTTCTGTTCATCCGTAAAATTACTGTATACGGTGTAATTTATAATGTGCTAAGTTGATAGAAATACATACCGGATGTATAAATTGAAAGCTAAAAGAAATTGAGTACCAAGAATTTAGAAAAGAGAGAGAACACTAACTTTTATAACTTTATATCCTAGCTCAGAATTTGGATCGGTGAGGAGCTTATGAAGATAATCTATGTCCCTCTTCTTCATCCAAGGACGCTTCACCAATAACTTGTCTTGATAATCCTTGTAGGGAGGTTTAGGAAGTTTTGGAGTTTCAAAGAGACGTTCTTTAATAGATTCCCATCTTTTTTGAACATTCGGATCAACATCTTCAGCCTGGGTCACTTCGGTGTTATCATTTTTGGACCGATTACTTGTAGAAGATCCTGCTTCCGAGTTAATCTTGTCTCCATTAATAATTTGCGGAGATAATGACGCGTCTTCCTTCACTATATCTTCATTTTTAACATTTTCCTCCATGATTTCCTCCATTTCAGAACCTTTATTAACAAACCTATAATATTAATATTTCATTCGTTTCTGGAAGAATTCTCATAGCCTTTCTCTGCTCTTACCTTGACCGCGTTGTTCCATCACAAGAGTATTTGTATGTGGGTCATTATTTATCGGAGTCACATCTGTAGAAACATCAGGACGAGACTTTTTCACTCGACTGCTTCTTGAGGAACCTGTATTCTTAGCGCGTTTTTTATGCACTTTTTTCGTCTCGGGTTCTTCTTCCGCAAGTAAATCGGAGTCTTCTTCAATTATCTCCTTTTTAACGGTTCTTTGCCTAGAAGATCGTCTTACTGGTGGAGGGGAGCTTTCCTTTTCGGCTGTTTGTTTGGCCTTTTTTGGTGGCATTTTAGACACTAAGTGAATAGTGTGGATAAATTTTACAGTATCTACGCACTTGACAAACTACGACCAACTTTATTACTAGGCAATGCGCACATGTGATATACTATCACATGACGTGATTGGATGTTGAAAAATAGCGCATACAGATTCGTTATAAAATAGGTTTTAAGTAATTTTGATAAAATTATATTTAAAAAATCATACTTTAATAAACTCATTATTAAATATACTGTATTACTAATAAGACAATTTTTGAATTTATTAATAATGATATCAATTTTTTTTTTGTAATGTCCGTAACCCGGTTAGTTTGTAATTTATCAATCGATTAAAAACATAAATATGTTATCATTTGAGCAGTATAATATATACTAGCTAAACTTTTACAAAACAATCTAACCAACTTATTATAAATAATAATGACTTCTAAGTTTAATCTTGAAACAATATTTTATTCCATAATAAACTTTGGATGAAGACTTTTCTAGTTTATATATCATTACTAATATGTTGATTGACAATATTATCAATTTTTGTTTTTTTTTTTGTTTTGAGTATCTGTAACCTTGGTTTACTAATTAATTGAAAACATAGGTACATTTTCATTTGAGCAGTATAATATATACTATAGCTAAATTATTATTCTAATCTAACTAACTTATCATAAACATAAAAGCCTCTAAGTTCAATCTTGAGGACAATATTTTGTTTCACAGTGTCTTTGGGTAAAGACCTTCCTAATTCACTATATTATTGCTAGCAAGTTGTCACTATTATATATTTAACCAAGCTATTAGAATACAGGAATCTACAAAAGGATGGGTTGAAAAAAGAAAAAGAGGAATATTTAAAATGTTTAAATAGACAACAAAAAAATAAAAAGATAAAAATTGAAAAAATTTTTTCAACTTTCTTTAAAGACCTACTTCTTAAAACCTTTTCTCAATAAAAAATGCCCAATTTGAATATTTTTTCTTTTCCTAACTATTTGAGAAACTTGTTTATTCTTGATCTTGATTTTCTTCTTGTATACCATTTAAGAAGACTTATCATCTAGTGGAAGTCTTTACTTCCAGAATATACTTGGTTCCAACTTTTTTTGAACAGTAATTTTTTATTCACCTGTGATAGAGAGATAACTTATAATGAACATCAGGTTTTTATATAACCTAGTAGAAATTAGGACATATTGTTTCAATATGATATCTTCTAATATTTATATCTAGTTAAAGGAATTTTATT